AGTTCTAGTAGAGGGCAGGTTTAGGAAAACACTGCTGTTTGCTTATGGCAAGCCTAGAATTCTATGTATTTTCTAAAAAATGAAAGTAGTTCAAATATACATTGTATAATTACAGATAGGCAATTTATATATAGCAAGAGTTAGTTTCTAATCTAAATCAATTAGAATGCTAAAATTAACCAAAGACAGAAACTGCAGTCTGCATTAGCTCCCTGTGGAATAAATTTCTTTGTTAATGCTCTGTTGTTAAATATAATTTGTATATAAGTCTATCTCTAAGCCAACATAAAAATCTATTATCAATTGCTAGAAGAGCATTGCAATGTTCCAGAAACATGACTCACCTGAAAGTGAAACAGACATGTAAAGATCTGAACTACAAGCCCTCTTTCGTGCCACAAAATGGATTTAGTTAATTATTATATGTCTAAAATCTTCACAAAGAAGATTGCTGGGATAGTAAATAAGGAATAAAAATAAAATATTATACATATGTATTCCAAAACCATAGATATTATATGAGCATCATTTAGTTCCCATACTTTTTTTTTACATTGCTCATGAAGAATTTACACTTTCTTTGACATTGAATCCTACAAAAAGACAACCATTTCTCACTTTAATTATTATTTCCTTAATCTCTAATAATCACAAGGGTCACCACCCCTTTGACAAAATTGGATCAGCAGCTGTAGAATTCAAGGTTCCTAACACTCTTCACCTTAAACTACTAAATTTTTAATCTACCCTTTATCTCCAGTGGTTTGTGACTGTCACAAATTATTAATAACATTTCATTTAATTTTCAGAGATTTCCTCTCTAGATGTTTCTTTTAGGAGGATCACAGAGAATTGGTTCCCCCTGTGACTGGTTACAAAAGAGTACACTTACTTGGGTCACTGTCTTTACTTGAAATACAACATTAACAACAATGCTGAATTAAGGGAATGATTTTTTTAAACCAAAATACAAGAGTGGGAAAAATTCACCTCAGTTTTCTGCAGATTACAGGAAATGGAATTTTTTGGCATGATCTATCTAAATTGCCCCAGATTTTCGCCTCACCTGGCAATACATATACAGTATAGCATCAAAGAGATCTATTTTTTTATCTTAAAGTCATTGATCTTATAATTGCTTCATGAAAACAACTTCTCTTCTGACTTCTTAACACCATGTGTTTCATAAATTTGTTAGCCAAATCAGCTCTTTTCTTCTACATTAGCCACTACATTCAATTTTAGTAATGGTAGTAACATAAGGGCTAAATTTTAAAGTTTCTCTATTTCATTTACAATATTTCTCTAGTTTATCTGGCTTTTGGCACTTAGTCTAGTTAACTGAAAATTAACTGAAAATTAGTTTCAGTTGAACTAATTTAGATGGTTGGGGAGAGTATCATGATGATGGAAGCAGTTTCCTATAGAAGGCTGCTGCTTTCCTTGGGAATGATTCATTTAGAACAGTGGCAGCTTCCAGACTTCACACATTACTTCCCCAAATTTGCTGAATTTAGCATTGGCAGCTTAGTATTAAAACACTCAGAACTCAAAGACATGTGGGTGAACTCACATCTTCTCTGCAGTCTCATTGCAAATGCTCACAGAGCAACTTCTGATTTGTTATATTTCTACTTGTAAACACATCCTGTTGGCATTTATAGAAATCAGGTAGAGATCTGCTGGTTTGGAACCATTCCAGTTTCTTTGTGAGTTTGTTTTAAATCATGTAGATGATGAAACAATGAATTCATATTAAATTCTGGATTAATTATTACTGTTTCTTCCCTGTTTAACAGTGTTACTAATGGACATCAAATAGCTATGATGTACGTGGTATTCTATGGGGATATCATAAAACAAAGAGAATATTCTTCACTTAAATGAGCTTCTGGTTCACTAATTATCAAGGTCATTTATTTATAAGAAAGACCTTGCCAACTTACAGCTCTGGCCTGAATGTGTTTGGTGACCAAATGCCTGTAAGTGCATATTAAATTATATTTTACAGTAATGATGGCAGTGTGCTGATGCTCCTGAGTTACATCATGGAATCTTTAAAACCATACCATCATGTTACACAAAACTAGATGCCTATAAGCACAGCCAGGAACCAGAGGATGTCAGTGTACAGTGTCCTCCTCCATGACTGCATGCCCTGCCATTTTACCTGACAGGATGCCATCTGTTCATCCTGCTGCCATTCCCTAGAGTAATTGGGTTAAAACTGTAAGACATTGAAGACAGTCACATTGCCTGCTGTATTTTTAATTGACTGGGTATTTATATCAGGAGTGACTGTTCTTCTCACAGGCTATTCATTCAAATATTTTTTGTGGCCATGTTTTACAACGTAATTATTCAATTATTTATATTGTGTGGACACAATATTAGTTAAGAAAAGTTTCCTACAAAATTTCTTATTTAATCTATAAAATGGTGGAATATTAAAGTATTTATCAATGAAAGAGTATAGTTACAGTAGAAGCTTATAGTTCTGTGGTTAAGAGCATGGCTCTGGAGTCAGATCTCCGAGGTCAGAATCCCAGCTCCACCTACTACTAATTCTAAATCTGGGCAAGGTATCAGAGTTATTAGGAAGATTCATGAACTAATCCATGTAAACAATCAAATACATTTACATATAAAAAGTTCTCAAAAAATGTTAGCTGTTATTATCAATAATCAACTTATTTGATATTAATCTCGAATTGGTATAATGTTTGAAATCCAAACATTCATTAAATTTTGGGTGAAATGTGCTATACAGAGACACATTACAAGAATCTAACTTCTCAAATGTGCTTCACCTGATATTAAATACAATGTACATCCTTGTTTTAAGAATGATCCATACTTATGTCTCTTTAGCAGTGTCTCACGCAGGTTTATTACTGAATATCATTACCTGAAATCCTGCAAACCAGTTGTCATTGACAAGCACATGGAAAACTATTGCTATAGCCTCACAGAGCTAATGCACACAAAAGTTCCATTTTATGATGTTTTAAACCTAATTTTCAAAACATAATTCTTCCTAAAAATGCTAAAAAGCTCCTAGGAATTTACCCTAATAATTCAGGAGCCCAATTTCAAAAAGACATATGCACCCCTATGTTTATCGCAGCACTATTTACAATAGCCAAGAAATGGAAGCAACCTAAGTGTCCATCAGTAGATGAATGGATAAAGAAGATGTGGTACATATTCACAGTGGAATATTATTCAGCCATAAGAAGAAAACAAATCCTACCATTTGCAACAATATGGATGGAGCTAGAGGGTATTATGCTCAGTGAATTAAGCCAGGCAGAGAAAGAAAAGTACCAAATGATTTCACTCATCTGTGGAGCATAAGAACAAAAAAAAAATACAGAAAGAACAAAACAGCAGCAAACTCACAGAACCCAAGAACGGACTAACAGGTACCAAGGGGAAAGGAACTGGGGAGGATGGGTGGGAAGGGAGGCATAAGGGGAATAAGGGGCATTAGGATTAGCACACATAATTTAGCAGGGGGCACGGAGAAGGCAGTATAGGACAGAGAAGACAAGTAGGGACTCTATAGTATCCTACTACGCTGATAGACAGTGACTGTAATGGGGTATGTGATGGGGACTTGATAATGGGGAAAATCTAGTAACCAATATGTTGCTCATGTGATTGTATATTAATGATACTAAAATAAAAATAAAAATAAATAATAATAATAATAATATTGATAGGTGCAGAAAAACATATAGCAAAATCCAACACCCATTTCAAGATAAAACAGTCAACCAACTAGGAATAGAAGAGAACTTTCTCAATTTGATAAAGAATATCTACAAAGAAAAAAGCATAGCTAACATCATACTTAATGGTAGGACACTAGATCTTAAGATGGGAATAAGACAAGGATTGTCATCTCACTACACTTTCAACATAGTACAGAAGTCCTAACTAAAGCAATTAAATGAGATAAGAAAATAAAAGGTATATAAAAAAATGCTAAAAAGCATTTCTGTAGTAATTAAATCAACATGAATCTACAGCCAGTATAGTTTTCATTAGTGCAGAATTAGGTACTCTGCAGTGCATTTGTGACCCTCATTTTTAAGCAGACAATAAAATCCAGGTTATAATTAATAGAAAAAAGTAGACTGAGAAGAAAAAGAAAGTCAAAAATGTTAATATGCAGATTCTGGAATTAGAGACATAAACTCCTTGGCTTGGTGATAGTACATTTAACTTAGATCTTCAGAAACTCCAGTTAGCTGAGCCCTTTCGGGTCCCACCAACTCCCTAAGAAGAACAGATGCTCAGTTCAGCAAAATATTGGCCAGATTCACTGTATTTATTCACTGTACTATTTGTGTTTTCTATGTAATAATTTCCTTCCTGGGTATGCTGTTTTTCAGTATTATAAAATGAATAGGGAGAAACAGTAATGATAATAAATAATTATAGCCAAAGCATGAGCAAAATTATTACACTAAAATTAATATTTGCATATAAAACTTGGAAATACTCAAAAATACTATATTTTCTTCAAACACAAATTCTCTGAAACTTCAATGTTAAAGGAAACATATGCCACATTATCTCACAGAACTATCAATAGAAACTAGATTAGCAATCAGACCCTACACATCTTTGTCAAAGACGGTACCTGACGTATTCATAGTAGGTAAAAACAACCTCCCATGGTAAAGGAGGGGTTGCATTGGTTAGGATAAATATTTGTTGGCGAAAGTGAATTTGTTTTAAAAAAGAGTCTGAATCAGCATAAAACGATTGCTTTACGATCACTAAATTTTTCAGTTGATTTAAACCCACTATTTGGCCATATTTTTGAAGATAGAAATACATCATTTATGTACCAAAAAGAAACAAATGAAATTTTTCTCCTTGAATTTCATAAAATCCATTATACATAACACAATTGTTCATTTTAAAACAGAGGTAGTTAATAATCTCATGATATAGAGGCATTAAAAAAAGTGAAAAATGTGTCTTACCTCTTCCCACTGATGTATGTATCTAATCAACCTTGAAAGTCGTAATAAACGTAAGAGACTGAGAATTTTTGTAAATCTCACAATGCGAAGTGCCCTGGCTGTCTTGTAAACTTCTGAATCCATTCCTTTTTCTACAATGAGAAAGATATAATCCACTGGGATTGATGAGATGAAGTCAACCACAAACCAGCTTTTTAAATAATTCATCTTGATCACTTTAGGGTCCAGGATGATTTCAGAACTGTCTTCATTGACAGTGCCAGTCCTAAAATTCATGATCAGGTCCAAAAGAAAAACTGTATCTGATGCCACATTGAAAATAATCCATGGTGTTGTTGTTTGTTCTGTAAAGAATGTGATTCCAACTGGTATGATGACCAGATTTCCAACCATCATTATAAGCATTATTAAATCCCAATAAAACCTATAACAAATAAAAAAAATCAGATTTTAACATATAGACAATAACCAGGCCATTTTTCTGCCCCCTCAAAAAATTATTACAGACTTATAATTAAATAATTAAGTAAAAGAACAAAATGTTGTTTTTGTAAATATGGTAACTCCTCCTAGGGCTATACATTTAAATCTAAGTAAAATTAATATATTCTTAAAACTTGGCATTGTGATTATATAATTCTGAAAATTATATGATATATATAAAGTGTGATAGAAATAAATTCAAAATACCCACACCTCCATATATCTGGTAAAAAAAAAAATTCCCTTAAAGTTAACATATAACGTGGATGGAAACAAGAAGTATAAGACCAACACATCTACCATAAGAAACAATTTTGGGAAGACTCCTTTGGAGGCTTTGTATCACAGACTAAAATATACAATAAACAGGTTACATTAAAAATATTGGTATTGCAGATTTACCTCTAGGAGTACAGAATAGGTCAGTCATGGATCCTCGACTAACCCACAGCTTTGCAGTACTCCAAATATTTATGCTTTCTTCTTCTTTAGTTTGAAATGAGAAACTAATTTTGTCCTGAAGCTGAAAACAACTAAACAGATTCTATATTTTAAACTAGAATATATCTAAAATTTGCACTTTTATTTCTACTTCATTGAATACCTATTTTAAATAGATTGCCACTATTTTTCCAATTTTTTAAAATTTCTAATTTAATTTTCAACATGTTTATGACTACTAAACTACTCCCTGAAACATTCTTGTCTCACCTTACTTTAAAATTGGGAGAAAACCAGGAACTTTGCTCCAGGTTAACATAGCATAACTAAATTCATCAAAGATGATTTTATAACATTATTTTCCTGCAGGTTCTTTCAAAATTTCCTGATAATGCAGTTAACAGACTAGATGGACTATTTATACTAGTTACAGTATATATGTACAAAACTAAAGAAACAAAACAATTGATACATCTCTATAACCATGAAGTAGTCTCCAGAAATGAATTACTTCATCCTGGTCACTGGTGTCCTCTTCTGGTGTATTTATTGTACAAACAATATGAACTTCTATGACAGAAGTTGCTGTTCACTTAGATATTTTCATCTTACATTAATTCTCCTACTTAGACTACTTGGGCTACATTCTGGGAAGGTATACATTTGCATAACCCTTTCAAAGTTACTATCATTCTGAATTATGAATAACTACTGGGATAAAAGCAGTTGTACAACTATAATAGACCTTTTATGATATATATAAAGTGTGATAGAAATAAATTCAAAATACCCACACCTCCATATATCTGGTAAAAAAAAAAATTCCCTTAAAGTTAACATATAACGTGGATGGAAACAAGAAGTATAAGACCAACACATCTACCATAAGAAACAATTTTGGGAAGACTCTTTTGGAGGCTTTGTATCACAGACTAAAATATACAATAAACAGGTTACATTAAAAATATTGGTATTGCAGATTTACCTCTAGGAGTACAGAATAGGTCAGTCATGGATCCTCGACTAACCCACAGCTTTGCAGTACTCCAAATATTTATGCTTTCTTCTTCTTTAGTTTGAAATGAGAAACTAATTTTGTCCTGAAGCTGAAAACAACTAAACAGATTCTATATTTTAAACTAGAATATATCTAAAATTTGCACTTTTATTTCTACTTCATTGAATACCTATTTTAAATAGATTGCCACTATTTTTCCAATTTTTTAAAATTTCTAATTTAATTTTCAACATGTTTATGACTACTAAACTACTCCCTGAAACATTCTTGTCTCACCTTACTTTAAAATTGGGAGAAAACCAGGAACTTTGCTCCAGGTTAACATAGCATAACTAAATTCATCAAAGATGATTTTATAACATTATTTTCCTGCAGGTTCTTTCAAAATTTCCTGATAATGCAGTTAACAGACTAGATGGACTATTTATACTAGTTACAGTATATATGTACAAAACTAAAGAAACAAAACAATTGATACATCTCTATAACCATGAAGTAGTCTCCAGAAATGAATTACTTCATCCTGGTCACTGGTGTCCTCTTCTGGTGTATTTATTGTACAAACAATATGAACTTCTATGACAGAAGTTTCTGTTCACTTAGATATTTTCATCTTACATTAATTCTCCTACTTAGACTACTTGGGCTACATTCTGGGAAGGTATACATTTGCATAACCCTTTCAAAGTTACTATCATTCTGAATTATGAATAACTACTGGGATAAAAGCAGTTGTACAACTATAATAGACCTTCTCTCCCCTTATCTCCACCCTCAGGATTGCATAAAAAACAAGTGTTTGACATTTTTAAGATTTCACCAGTCTTTCTGTTAACATTTACCTAAGAATCTATGGACAAGTATACAGATACCCCTGCCAATCATACATAATGCACTGGCAATGTCATTGAAATCTTCTATCTTTTTTCTTTCTCTTCTCTTAATGGAAATGTAAAATGTGCCATTTAATACGCTAAGGACAGAAGAGAGATGCAGAGGAGATGCAATACTGTAATAGCTCTTTCACAAAGAAATGACATCACTGGGCTCTAAAAGGAAATTGTGTGCCTTGAGAATTTTCACTTCTCTGGACACTCTGATCAGTGCCTTCTGCGAGCTCCTCTCTCTGCCCTGCCCTTCACGACCACTGTTCCCCTGGGTGTCACATAGAGAGCCCTTTGGTATTCTGTTCTACACATGCTCTTTGGGCAATATTATATACTCATCCATGTCTTTAATGATTAATTCATAACTGAGCACTCCAAAAGCTTTATCTCCAGTCCATTCCTGTCTTCTAAGCCTCCTAATCTTTATAATCAGCAGTCTATTAAATCTACCCCCTTGGATTTCACACTCATATCAAACAGCATGCCCTCCCACATGTATGGCTCATATGTTCCCTATATCAGGGAATGGAACAACTCTGGATCTGATTTGTAAGCCAGAAACTTTAGAGCTATCCTAGGTAACTTCTGGCCCTAAATCTACTCAATCTCACATTTAATCAATCATTAAGTCGGTTTGGTTCTAATACCTAAATATAAGCTATAGTCACCCATTTTCCCTTTATGATTCCCACTGCAGCTACCTTCAACCAGAAATTCTTACCAGATGTTTATTGGAGATGAGGTACTTAAATTCTTTAATCCTAAATTTTCTGATCTGTAAAATGAAAATTATTATATAACCAAATGTGCAGGGTTTTACAGGATAAATGAAATAATATATGCAAATCACACATCCTAGCATGTAACAAACTATGGCACACAGTGCTGGTGGCCTGCTCAGTATTCATTTACATTTCCTTACTTATCAAAAGAACCCAATTCTGTGGGGAGCAGCCAGGAGCCCATTGAAAAATGCTCACTTTTACAGACATCCTTGCATTGCTATCATTAAGGAAGAAGCTGTATTTTTAAGAAAAATATCATACTCTATCCCTCTTAGTCAACAGGATAAAGTACCATATACTCTTTATTATAGCAATAATGTTTATTACACCAGCTTTTTTATAAGTGGTACTTAATGGTCTGAAACCATTAAGATGTCATATTATTTATATGAAATCCCATTAAACCTTATAATTTCCTTTTAAAGTAACACTGACTCTATTGTACTGACATAAACCCAGATTTTGCTATAGACCCTGAATAATATAACACCTTTTTGGTTCATGTGGATTCATTCCTTCACTAGGCAAGGAAAATACAGTTACCACCCACTCTGGAAGTGTGATGTTACTTCTGTTTTTTAAGCAAGGAGTATGTTCCTGAATGCTGACCTCATGGGTCTATTTTGCCTATCTGCCCATGAGTTTCTCTCCTTGATTCTTTGCTCTGAAAATGTTATCTTAGATACACAGGGGTTCCCTTTTCATTAACTCTGTTTCTTTGTCTTATACATTTATGACAGAATTGTCTTTCTTATCCATTCTCTTTTCTCATTCCCATTGTTTTATCTCCAGTGCAGGGAGAGCGAGCTCTTGCTACAATATCTGAAGCTATGGAACCTGAACAACTTCACCTGACAGTCCCAGATTAATCTAACATGTAACTTGCCAGGTAAAAAATCATCAATGACTTTCTCAAATTAAATAAAAACAACTTAGCCTTGTTTTCAAGGAACTCTGTAACATAGTCTCCTCCTCCCTTCCAGCCTCTTCAACACTTTTATGGCAAGCACCTCGGGTCACAAGCAAGAGTACTTGCTCTTACCTTGCCATCATGCACACCTAGGTATATGTACAAGAGATTAGGTTACCTCCATTCTACCATTTTTTCCTATTAGCATTCCACTTATCTTTCAAGCCCTATTCTAGCAATACGTTTCTCAATTCTGTTTTTTCTACAGCCCACAGAGCAGTATATACTTTTCAGTATGCTTATTTTATTTTTGCTTTTGATACTAATTGTCTGTGTTTCCTCCATCACTACTAGACTTAAGTTCTTTGAAGTTTACAACTGCATCTTGTCTTCTGTTTAACTTCTGTGCTATCTAGGATAGTAAATACTAAGAAGACATATTAATTGAATTTTTTATTGACGTATAGTTTATATACAATCTTATAGTGGTTTCAAGTATACAACACAGTGATTCAACAGTTACTGATATTATTAAATCTTCACTCTAACTAGTACAGTTATATGTCTACGTAGGAAGATGTTACAGAATCATTGGCTATATTCTCCATGCTGAACTACCATCCCTGTGACCAACTTATATTATGAGAATTTTTGTGCTCCTTTATCTCCCTCACCCTCTCTTTACCTGCCCCAACCCCTCCCCCATGGTAACCATTGGTCACTTCTCAGTATCTATGAGTCTACTGCTGTTCTGTTCATTTTGTTTTGTTTTCAATTGAATTTTTAATGAACATATACACTTCAGTGGGGGATATTTAAAGAAATCCTTTTTTTTTAATAATGTGAATTTTATTAAAAATTTACATTTACAGACCTTTTCAGGATCCTAAATTTACAAAC